CACAGCCCCAGGGAGTGGCGGCGCATTGCTTGAGGTAGCAGTGCCCCGATTAGTGCGCTGCACGCATGCTGTGCCAAGCGTGCGGGGCACCGCATGCAAGCCTACTATGCGCAGGCCCTAGGCGCATTAGGGCTACTCTTATGTGTGTGTGCGCACAGAGGGGACGTGCATGCTGTGCGCACGCACAATGCCCAACACTTACGCGAACAACTTAACTCCCTGCAGGAATTTTTTCATGGGATTTTCTTCTCGATTCTTTGTTTTTTGTTTCTCAATTTTTATATTTAATTTAAATGAGTTAAACTTAAAATTAAAATTAAAATAAATAAAAATCAAATAAATAAAAAATCAACCAAAATTATAAAATATGATAAATATTAAGCAACATAAATTAATTAAGTTTAACATGGCCAAAGGCCTAAATGAATAAAGTTTTCCAAATTAATTAAATACAATGATGGGCGGGGTGTTAGACATATAATTGGAAATATTTTGTTATTCCTGTCTTTCACTATCATGGTTAGAAGTTGGTAATTTTCTTTTTTTTTCTTAAAAAAAAGGAAACATCCAATCTTATAATTAATTTACGCTAAGCCTTTGATCAACTTTAAGAGCCTAATAGCATATAGTAAAGTTTCTTTAATAGACACTTTTCTTTTTTGTACATCTCATCTTTAGAATTGTTAACTCTCAATATTACAGACTTTATAGTGACCTCATTACTAAGTATTGTTAGCTTATAATCCATAGACCTTTCGTAAGTGCATATTCATAATCTTCTTCTTTTAAAATATTGGAAAAAAAGAAGTCGTTTACAAAATCAATCAGTTGTAAAACTCTAGATAAAATGCATATATTTCTTAGTGTTTGCTCCAAGTATCCGTAATTGATCTTCTTTCTATGTAGTTTGATCACAAGAGTTTGACTCCTTGGTTTCTATAGGTTTATCATTTCATTAGCATTGAGACAAATGAATGGGTAGAATGGGTTGTCTTTGTCTTCTTCTTCATCTATTGCAGGTGGAAGAGTGGAGTAGAAATATGTTTCCTTAGTCCTGTCTATTCCCGTTGCATCTTTATCATAGGCTAAATCGAATACCAAGCTTTTTTTGCTAAATTGGTGCATAAATCTTACTTGTTGTATGACTATTTACTTTTGTGTGGACACTTTGTCCAATTATAAATTCAGTAGACATCATTATGGACCACCTTATATCATGATTATCGATACATAAAAACCCCATAAATTTGTATTGAAATACCTTGACATCAACCATAATCCTTGCCTATTTATATATGGTCCTGGACCAAAATATTAATTTAACCATTCTATTGTTTTAAAATATTTAAATTAATCCATCTGTAATTTTTTTGCTATTTTGATCCTTATACTTTTAAAAAATTTTATCACAATTTCTACTTATTAATGGGTTAGTGGAAGTACCACATGAACTCAAGTTAAACACATGTTACATTTTATTACACGTCACATTTTATTTGGATCATCGTCAATGTAATATCTATGTATCTAATTATGTGGCATCTAATGTGTAAAAAATTAAAAAAAAATTAGTGGTCCCTCTCTCCTCCCTCCTTTTCCCAAACTTCACTACCGAAAATGTTAATGGCCTTGCACCCTCTTTTGGTCCTGGCCACTGAGCAACCTTCAATAGTCGCCATTGGTATGGTGTCTTCAAACTCATCCTACATCAATGGCCCAACAATCCCCAACGATGCCAATGACGATGTTTAGAAATGAATTTTAGTTCTTAATTAATCTCCTCTCTCTCTCTTATCTCTTTCGTTTCTCACTAAATACATATTGAGCTTGTTAGTTCCATAAGAGATAACTTTGGAGTTGATTAAAGAAATGTTTCACAAGAGATTGGTGTTGACAAAAGAATTGGATAAAGACCTTTAAAAGTGCACCGGAAAGGGAGACATACAATGTGTTTGGATGATGGGTAATTAATGTATGGTATGGTAATTACATAGTTTTATTTTGTTTGGATCTACTCTCAAACAGATAGTATGGTCATTAAGTGGTATTTTAGGGTAAATTTTTGCTCATTTTTTCAGATTTCCAAACCACCAAATTGGTGGTTTTTTATGGTTAAACATTTTTATTCCATTTTTACCCTTACAATATTTTATTAATTATAGTTTTATCCTTGAACCCTAATTTTGGTTTTCTTCCCAGCCCGACCTGCTTCTTCTTCACATCAGCTTGCATCTTCTTCTTCTGCTTCCATCTTCTACTTCTACTACTTCGATTCTGCTGTCTTGCTTCACCTCTCCTTCTTTCAATCAAGGTAAGTAATGATTAAATTGCTTCTTGCTTTGGATATTCTTGTTTTTATGTTTGTGTTTTTGAAATGCATATAGGTTGGTTTTGAAGATTTGAAGGTTGAAATGCATATAGGGTTTGTGAAGATTGAATATTGAAATGCATATAGGGTTTGTGAAGATTGAATATTGAAATGCATATAGGGCTTGTGAAATGCATTTTTATCCCTCTCTCACTCAAACAACCCACTGCCCTTCTCTGTGATTCAGATCGAGAACAGCCAATGGGAGTCCATTCGCCTAATATTTTTTAGTTCTGGATAGCGTTTAAATTTGCAGCTTTTGTTTAGTTATCTATTCATTTTCTTGTGTCCTTTTGGTTTTCAACAATGGTATGTTTACCTCACAACTTTCATTCTTTATTTTGTTGCTTTCATCTATGATTTCTACATTTCTAGAATGTAGTGATATATATATATGTTTAGCGCCTCTTCTCATTTGATTTAGTATATATATATATATTCTCTCGCAAATATCATGTATAAACAAAATTCCCAAGCCATAGTTCTGACAAATAATATGGCCAAAAGAAAGATGTCGTAACCTAGGAGATGGTTGAAGCCATAGGGGTAGATTACAGATGTAGACGAAGCCGCTTGGAGGGACTCCTCTTCTTGAGTAGCCTATCACAAATTAAAGCCAGTTCAACTACCTTCAAAATCAGCGGAGCTACTTGTCCATACACTCAATAGACTTCAGTGAATAACACAATAGAGGAAGAGAAAATTTCTGAAGTATGCAGCCTGCAGTTAGTTAGTGCTTTCCCTTCCAATCAACTCATTCCTTTCCCTTGATAAAAGTTCTAAATGGCAAAAGTGGAAAAAGAAAAGCGAAGACAAAAGTAATAATATAGATAGCTAGATTATCAAGATTTGCATTAAAACCTGATGGTCAACATCAGCATAGCCTCTTCGTATTAATTCCACTGCCAAATCATACAGATCTTGGAAATAGTCACTGGTGTAAGTAATCTGTTCATAAATGGAGTATGTTGATTTTAGCAGCTTATCTGCTGTTTTTGAAGTAAATTATATTTGAGAATTTAGAGAGAGAAAATTTAGTGAGAGAGGCATAAAAACAGAGTAAAAGCATGCAACTGCCTCTGTTTTCGTATGTTGCAGAAGTAAGAAGATAATTGAAGGAGAATTCGATCGATGTTCATTGATGATTGAGTGCTTTAAATAAGCAAGGTTACAATTGAAACTTCTTATCAGATTAAATAATTTAGGTAGGCTGCATATATGCATGCAAATACAACTCTTACGTGATAAGATTATCACATTTATTTTAAATTCAAAATTTCGAAATATAAAAACTAATTCTTATCTAAATCAACACTCCTCCTTAAGAATTTGCTTCAACTCCCAGCCGTGATCTCAGGTCTTCAAACTTGCCTTTTCCAACAGCCTTGGTTAAGACACCAGCTAACTGGTTTTTTGAGGAGCAGTGCACAAACTTTATTTCATGATTTTTCTCAGCATCCCGGATTGCATGGTCCTTCACGTTAATGTGTTTAGTTCTGCCATGCATAACTGGGTTTTTGGCCATTGCGATGGCAGACTTGTTGTCGACGAAAATCTCAGTGGGCAAATTGTTTTTCAACTCAAATCCTTCAAAATTTTCCTTATCCATATTGCTTAATTAGCTGTGGCAGCTGCAGCTATGTATTCAGCTTCCACAGTAGATTGAGCAACCACTTTTTGCTTCTTCGATGCCCATGAGAATGCGTCTGATCCAAGTGAGAAAACATACCCAGAGGTGCTTCTTGCATCTTCAACACTGCCGACCCAATCACTGTCCATGTACCCTTGTAGAGTACCACCTTCTGTTGATTTATACCAGATGCCAAAATTTTCAGTTCCTTTGATGTACTTCAAAATGTGCTTTACAGCAGCTAGATGAGATTTTCTGGGAGAAGACATGAACCTTGACAACAGACTTACAGAGTACATCAAGTCTAGTCTGGTTGTCGTGAGGTACAACAGGTTTCCGATAATGCTTCTGTACACATTTTCATCTACCACTTCCTCATCTTCTGCTTTTGATAACTTTGAGTTTTGAATCATTGGAACGGACACAGCTTTACACATGTTTAAGCAAAATTTCTGCAAAATTTCTTTTGCATCGTGGGCTTGCGAGAGAAAAATGCCAACATGGTTTGTTTTATTTCCATTCCCAGAAAGTAGCAAGCTTCCCCTAAAGCAGACATCTCAAATTCCTTTTCCAGTTGAGATTTGAACTTCTCTATGTTCAATTTATTGCTGCCAGTAACCAAAATATCATCAACGTAAATTGCAACAATTAGTTTCTCACCTTCTGCTTCATGTCTTACGTATAAAATAGCTTCATTCTGGCTCTTTTTGAAGCCACAGTAAGTTAGATAGGCATCGAGTTTTTTATACCAGGCTCGAGGAGCCTGTTTGAGGCCATACAGGGCCTTTTTTAGCAAATAGACATAATCTTCCAGGTACGCTGAAGCCTTCTGGTTGCTGAACAAGAATCTCTTCTTCTAGGTCACCATTTAGGAAAGTTGATTTTACGTCCAGATGCATCACTTTCCACTTGAACTGAGCAGCAATTGCCAGAAGCAGGCGTATGGTTTCATGCCTCGCAACTGGAGCAAACGTTTCACCGAAGTCCACAACTTCAAGTTGAGCAAATCCTTTGTATTTATTCATTGATCCATCTGGATTCAATTTAATTCTGAAAACCCATTTAACGCTAATTGGTTTTTTTTCTTCTGGTTTAGGAATCAGCAACCAAGTTTTGTTCTTCTCGATCATGCTGATCTCCTCCTTTATGGCATCTCTCCAACTCTTATGTTGCACTGCATCTGCAAAAGAGGTAGGTTCAGATGCAGCAAAATTGCATCTTTCATATATATCTGTTAAGGCTCGGAATCTAGTTTGTGAACTGCTTTCTTCATCCTAATTCACTTCATCTTCTTCTTCAGTTTCCCAATGAGCGTTTGGGAGTGCTGGATTTTGGATCTCATTGCCAGTACCTTTGAATTCACTATCTGCTTCAATTCTTCTTTCTTCCCAGTTCCAGTAGGTAGATTCATCTACCACAACATCCCTGCGAATTATTAACCTGTTAATGTTTAAGTTGAGAATTTTATAGCCTTTTGATTATGAGCCATATCCTAAAACACTCCCAACTCAGCTTTATTATCCAGCTTCTTTCTTCTCTCATCTGGAATGTGTGAGTAGCACACTGATCCAAAAATTTTCAGGTGTTAAGTAGATGGTTTTCTACCACTCCAGGCTTCATATGGAGTTTGTTTCTTAGGAGCTTGAGTGGGCAAACAGTTTAGCAAATACACCGAGGTGTTTATTGCTTCAGCCCAAAACTTCCTCTGCAGGTGTTTGTCTACAAGTAGGCTTCTTCCCATTTCAACAACTGAGCAATTTCTCCTTTCTGCAACGCCATTTTGCTGAGGCGAATAAGGAACACTCAGCTGCCTCTTGACACCATTTTTTATGCAAAAATTAGTGAACTCAGCCGAAGTGTACTCCAAGGCATTGTCAGTTAAACATTTCACACTTCTTTCACTTTCCTTCTCTACCCAAGCCTTAAACTCCACAAATTGGTTGAAGACTTCACCTTTGCTGCGCAAGAAATAAACCCAACACATTCTGGTGAGATTATCAATGAACAGAGTGAAATACTTATAACCACTTAATGATTCCTCACTCATCGGGCCACAGATGTCTGAGTGTACAAGCTCAAGCTTTTCTTTTACTCTCCACTGTGTTTGAGATGGGAAGGGCATTCTAGCCATTTTGGCTATTAGGCAAACATCGCATACACCTTCTGTCATCTTGAAAGGAGGCAGGTCGAGACTCATCTGATGAGCCTACAATTTTTCAAGACCTCCCTTGTGATAGTGTCCATACCTCCTGTGCCTTATTCCTTCATTTTGATTGCCAAATTCGTTTTGTTCTTTGGTTCTGCCAGATTTAGAGCATACATTTTGTTTCTCAAGGGAACCTCGGCTATGAGTTCATCTTTTTCATTAAAGATTTCATAGAAAGTATGCTTAAAGGTAATGGTGTAACCATAACTTGCAATTTGGCATACATTCAGTAAGTTTTGGCGTAGGTTAAGAACAAATAATACATCATGTATCAACTTGTTACCTTGCTTTGTGCTTACCAGAACACTTCCCTTACCTTCAGCTCTAACAGCTTTCCCATCACCAAGTTGAATATACTCCTTCATATTTTTGTTCAGATTGTGAAATAGCTCCTCTTCTTTGCACATATGAGCTGTGCAGCCACTGTCGACTACCATAGTGCTTTGTTTTCATTAACAGCTTCACTTGAAGCTACAAGGAGTGTATTTGGAGTATCTTCTTCATTTTTGATCATGTTTGCCTGTTGTGGTTCGTGTTTTGATTCCTCCTGCTTCTTTTTTATTCTGCAATCCTTCTCTTTGTGACCGAGTCTCTTGCAAAAATTGCATTTGATAGTTCTTTTCCCTTTATACCAGCAATCTTTCTCAAGGTGATTAGTTAAAGAAAATATTTTGCATGGAGGGTATCTGTTTCACTTACCTTGACTCTGGTTGCCTTGTCGTGAATTTGAGCCTTTATCCTCAATTTTTATCCCCTGATTTTTAGTTCCAGACTTGTTTCTAGTCTAGGAAATAAACAGTGCTCCTTCTGGATTTATGGTCTCCCTCATACTGGCTCTTTGTTCTTAAGTCTCAAGTTTGTTTATCAGTTCAGCAGCAATGATTGTATCAGTGTCACCCAACTCCTCTAACACTGAAATTTTTTATTCAAATTTGGCAGGCAAGCTCACCAAAATATGTTCTACTACTCAAGATTCTGGAAAGTTTTCACTGAGTAGCCTGATTTTGCTAACAATATCAGAAAGCCGAGAGGCATATTGCCTTATAGTGTCTTCATATTTATTCGCAAGGCAATAAACTCAGCCTTCAATTTTATAAGCTTTATTTTTTTGCTTCTGTGACCTCCATCGAACTCTTCTTTGAGCTTATCCCAAGCTGATTTAGGTGTTTTGTAGGGCAAGATCCTACTAAAGACATTCTGAGACTGCCATAAATGCAGGCCAAGGCGTGAGGTTTCTTTGCTACTTCATCCTCGTGCCTTTTAATTTGAGTAAGAGACGATGTGTCTCTTAGAGGAGGTGGGTCATTGTCATCAAGGACTACCTCCCACAAACTCAGAGATTTCAGGTGAATCTCCATTGAAGTGCGGTGGAGCTGAAGTGCCAGAACAAGAAGACATCTTGATTGTCTCACAGTCCCTTAAGAAAAATGCTTTGATACCACTGTTGATTTTAGCAGCTTATCTACTGTTTTTGAAGCAGATTGTATTTGAGAATTTAGAGAGAAAATTTAGTAAGAGAAGGCACGAAAACAGAGTAAAAGCATGCAATTGCCTCTGTTTTCGTATGTTGTAGAAGTAAGAATATAATTGAAGGAGAATTCGATCGATGTTCATTGATGATTGAGTTCTTTAAATAAGCAAGGTTACAACTGAAAATTCTTATCAGATTAGATAATTTAGGTAGGCTGCATATATGTATGCAAATACAACTCTTACGTGATAAGATTATCATGTTTATTTTGAATTCAAAATTTCGAAAAATAAACGCTAATTCTTATGTAAATCAATAGAGTACATATTAAAAAACTTTTCCATATCATGAAAACAGTTTCATGTAGCATATGTTATACCTTGAAAGGTTCCCAACCCATCCACTGAACAATTTCTTCAATATGATTAATTTATTCTTTCTTTTTAGCCTCAGGGTTAGTGTCATCATATCTAGGTTACACAGAAATTAGAAATCAAAATTCAGAAATGAATATAGCTGAAGAGAAACATCATATTAAAAAATATACATGAGCCACTAAATCATAATTAATTGTTCACTCATTTGGCTTTTGAAATGCTAACACAGTTCACTAACATTAGAAAAGAAAAAAAACATGATTCCATTATATTCACGAAGGTATACAGTGAACTCCTACCAATGCATAAGAAGACTCTCGTCTAATTTATTTCAGACATTGACAACGACATTGTTGTTAGTAGTGACATTAATGGTATGACCAAGAAACTTCCCATTAATAACAATAACCTGTCAAACAATGAAGAAATGAGAGCCTAACGCTTCCCGTTACAGTGCAAAACAAACACCTAAACACAATGAGGGAAGAAAAAAAAAGGTTCACATTTTGTAGATCTGAAGCTAGACCAAAAATTTTCAAACTTTTCAGGTAACTCATTTACCATCCATGAATATGCACACCGCATAAACCAAAACACCATTCAAAATAGTAATAACAAAGAGATAGTGGAAAAAAAAGAAGCAGAAAAACAGATCTAAAGAGGAATATACCTGCTGAGGGTCTCCAAGAGGAGAAGCAGTAATGTAGGAAACCAACAATTCTATAAATCTGGGGAACAAGGAAATGTGGATAAGGAAGAAAGAAAAAATCCTACACAAAGCCATCCTTTTGAAGAACGCTAATCTTTTGGGAAGTGTCTCAGAAGTTCAGAGCCAAGTTTTTTTTGTTACCCTTTACTTTTTTTTTCTGGGTTTTACAATATTAGATTAGAAAGGAAAACTAAAGAAGAAAGTAGAGGCTGTACTTCTGCTTTATCATATTATCAAATTATCAGTTTTTTTTGTGTGGAATTATCTAGGTTTGACTAGAAACCCAATAAACCCAACTAAGAACCCAGATAGAGAAAATATAGGTGCATCAAATCAAATTGACTAGTTGTGCTACTGTACCAACACCACACACTTCCTCAAATTCATTCAACTTATAATTCTCAGAACCAGTAGCTACAAAAAATGAAAATGCTACATCCAACTGAGCTGTGGTCTTAATATGCAAATTATTACCAGGAAAGAATAATTAGTTCGGATACTTCAAAAACACAGTTTTAATAGCAAACACCATAAACTAGAGCAGACATATAAAAACCAAAAGAAATTATTATTGTAGTCAATCCTGAAGGCATAGAACTAAAAATAATGAGAGCTGCTGCAAACCCTTAGAGGATATAATATATTCGAGTAAAGTTCGGCGATGCACTAAAGCATTTGTTGGAAACTTCGTGGCAACCTGCTAAATATTTATTTACACGCAGATAATATATATATATATGTGCGTATGGAATTGCTTTATTGCTTCACTTCTAAACAACGCAGATATGGAGCGAACTTGTAAAGGGAGCTTGGCTGTCCTCTTTCCATTTCTGGGTTTTTGGTTTTTAGACAAAGAATGGTGGTTAGGGTTTTGTTTATAGTGAAAGTGTTTCTCTTTACACTCAACAAAGTGTTATGCAACAGAGGAAAACAGGGGAAGAAGACAAAGCAAAAGAGAAAAAGAAGGATGTGTGTATCTTTGCATGCATTGATGTAAGAGAGAGATTAGAGAGGAAGGCCAAGCCATTGCCCATTTCATCTTTCTTTTTGTTACCAAACTTTTATTAGTCTATATAAGAAAAGGACCTCTATATTAATTATTGGTAAGCTTATGAAAAGCTTGGTTACATATCATATGCATACAAGTTTGGTTATGAATCTTACATAATTATTGATAAGATATTATATGTTGTCTTTTGGTAATTATGTTAATATGATGGATGTACATGCATGTGAACTTGATATCCATATCTCAGTCCATGTATTGAGATATTTTATGTTGTCTTTACATAAAAAATTTTATTAAGGATACATTTGCAAAAATTATTCTTATTTTTTGTTGTTTCATACAGTAAAATTCTCTTTCTATTTGGTATTGTTTATATTTTCCCATAAAGTAAGAAAGATGGATCTTACGAAACATGTAGTTATTTTAGTGGGGTACTTTGTCATGCTTATTGTGATTTGTGTTTATAAAAGAAAAAAACTTCTGCTTACTCATTAATTATGACTAGCGAGAGAGAGAGAGAGAAAGTTTGAGATAAGCTTATCAAAAGCTTGGTCTCAAGTGAGTTTCGTCGGCACATCATTAGAATGAGAGTTCCAACCTTTATGAATTTATGTCGTATAGTAGTTATAGATGGTGGATTTAGGCTCACCCTTCGTGCAACTGTGGAAGAACAAGTCCTCTCTTGGCATTTTTGACAATTCGAAGAGACGACAAGTCGTCACTTCCATAATGTGTTACGAAATATAGTACAAATGGTAGATAAATTTCTTAATTAGCTAAGTGGATCACAAGTGCCTTCGGAAATAACCAACAATTCTAGTTTTTTCCATATTTAAAGGTAAATGTACAAGTTATTTAATTTATAAGTTTTCATAATGTAAAAATTTAATTAAGTTTTTTTTTAAATAAGTATAAGTTAATTAATTAGAGCATAATTAATTTCAGAATTATGTTAGTACGATTTATAACACACCGTCCATTACTGTGCCTAAATGATTTGAAAAATTCTATTTATTCGGGTATTTAGCTACATTAAACTTAATTAATTTACTCTACTTAATATTTATCGTGATTCGTAAATCTGGTTAATTTTTATTTATTTTGTTGTTATTTAAATTTATTTAATTTTAAATTTTAGTATTTAATTTTGTGTTTAACATATTCAAATTAATTACAGAAAATTGAGAGAAATCGAAAAAAAGTGCAAAACGGAAAGAAATCTTGCGGAGAAATAGATTGCTCGCGCGAGTGTTTGGCACTGTGCGCGCGCGCATGCACACACAGCAGCCACGGGGCGTGCGCACATCCCATCTGCACGAACACACGTACATCCCATTCGTGCGCACGGTGCGGGGTCAAGACCTGTACACGTCTTATCGCTCATTGGCGAATCGCCTGTGCAGATAGGCCCTGTGCACATAGGGCATGCGCGGAGCAGGCCTATGCACTTGCAGGCTAGCCTGCAACGCACCGACCGGGATACTGCTACCTCAGGCAGTGCACCACCATCGCCTTGGGCAGTGTGCCACCATCGCCTCGGGCAATGCGCTATCATTACCTTGGGAGATGCATCGTTGCCACGGGCGAAAGACACCCTTATCCCTTGTTTTTTTGTGCTGAACATCTTTTTCTCATCTCTCTTCACCGGATTTTGCCACTTGGCGTGTATCCAACGATTCTAAAATTTTATAAATTGTCCTTTCCCTTCCATTTCTCCCCACACTTCCATTCTTCCATTTTTAAAGATTTAGAGAGAGAGAGATAGAGATAGTAGTCTAGTGAGAGAAGAAGAGAAAGAAAGGAGAACGGTGAAGAAAAAATATTAAGATTTCGGTAAGAAATCTAATATTTTTTTCGACATCTTAAAAAGTATTTTTTATATAAACTAATTTAATATAATTGTGATTTTGTTTGTTTTGTATGCCTTTGTGTTCCGATTAGTCGAATTGTTCTTGTTTTCATATATGTTATGTGAATGGAAGACACTTGATGAATTGCATGTAATAAATCGGTATAATTGCTTGGTAAAAAAAATAAATAAAAAGTATACAAAAAAAGAAAAAGAGAAAAGTGCAATGAAGCTTGTATGGTCTAAAGTGTATCTGTATTGACATGCATATTACATCAAGTGTCTCGTTAGACTTTTTATTTCTGAGCAGTATTTGTTCTCCTTGCCCTTCGGGGTATCTATTTTCTCCTCCCTTATCTGGTTTGAAAATACATAAGAGGACCACTCCTAGTGGATGATGGTATACCCTCTAACGAGTGTCGAATTGCATTATCTGTAGGAGTCACCCATGGTTAAGTAATATTGTGACTATAGATATCTGTTAAATCCACTCTGACTGGTACGGCCGTGGTCGTAAATTGTACCATGGTTTGGCCAGCCGAAAATGGGTCTGAGCAAATTGTCATATTTGTATATAATTTGATCATTCAACTTGGGTAGCTAGAAATCTGTATCTGCCATGAGAGATAGAAGTTGTAACGACTTCGCGAAGCATGATACGAAAATCTGAACATTTCATGATTTATTTAATTTTCTATATTATCTGGCATGATGTATATTGTTGTCTGTATTAACGTACTGTTTTCTTAATAAATAAATTATTTTCATAATGAGATATAGGTAAACGAGGAGGTTAAATGGTAAGCTCTTAAGTCAAAATAATTAAAATTTAAAACTTTACGATGTTAATTTAATATTATTTTCTTTACTGAGCATATGAAACTTACTCTTTCCATGCCCCTCTCCCTAAATTAGGAAGAAAGTGAGGAACCGCAGCTGACCTATCTTTGAAAGTCTATGAGATCCCGCAGATCCACAAGTCTGAGTGCATAACTATTTCCGCACTCTAATGAGTCCAATAGCATAGTGAAAGAAGTGACCCTTATGTTTTGATTTGTATTTTGCAATTACTTCTGGCCTCAATATATGTATGTATTAGAATTCATATATTTATAAGGGATTTGTAATAATTTTGTTCCACTACATAAATTTTATCATGCACTCGTTATTCTGTATCTGTATCTGTATCTGAAACTTATTTGCCTTTAAATAGCACTTGGCATACCACAGATGATATCATAACAGAATTTTGCAGATTAAATCCCTTACACTGAGGTCTTAGATAGATGAACCTTTTAGAATACCTAGGAAAAAAATAAGTCATCTTTTCAAGATTAGACCACCAACTCGTGTCTTCATTTCTTTTGTAGGAATGACACGAGGAAAACCATCCATAGAGCGTACTTAGCGACCTAAAGCCCCGGATCATCCTACTAGGGTTGAATTTGCAGAACTCTTATGAGCTATTCAAGGATTAACTGTAGCCGTAGGACAAAATTAGGTCAACCCTTGTCTGCCCCCTACCCTTGAATACCGAAACATAGATCGATTCATCTCCCACAATATAGTGAAATTTAAGAAACTCAACCCCCCACGCTTTGAAGGTGGCCCTGATCCTTTAGTAGCCAAAACTTGAATCTTACAAAGAGAGAAATTCTTCTTTATCTTAGACTTGACCGAAGAATAGAAAGTTCCCCTTGCAGCTTTCATGTTAAACAGTAAAGCAAAACACTGGTGGCAACTTAAGAAGGAAGTTCTGCCAACTCCTACCACTTGGGAAGTTTTTATGGATGTTTTCTTTGATAACTTCTTCCCTGCCTATGTTTAGGAAAAGAAATAGGAGGAATTTTAGGACCTTCACCAAGGAAGTCTATCTATTGTCCAGTATGCAGACCGTTTTATTCAACTTTCTAGGTTTGTCCGTTTAATGATCAACCCCGAAAGTTAAAAAATTAGTAAGTTTCTTAAAGACCTTTGTGCCGCCATTTATGACCGAGTCGCGATGCTGAGACCCAACTCGTATGCAGATGTACTTGAATATGCCCAGTTGGCCAAAGTCCTTATCTCGACTAAGCACCAATGCATTGCCCGAGTCCGTGCCTTACAATAACCCCAACAACTTAGAAGAAGATTGCATGACCCAGTAATTAACCCTCCAGACAAACGAATTAGAGTTACCCCCAGAACTTGAAGTGACGTATTGGTGGCCAGGAATGAAGAAGGATATAGTTGACTACATCTGTCGATGCCTTACTTTTCAATGGATAAAGGCAAAACATCAGAGACCACGGCTTACTACAAGGTTTTCTGATCCCTGAATGGAAATAGGAGCATGTGGCTATGAATTTTGTCACCAGATTGCCTTGGACCTATTCTGGTCGAAATGCAATCTGGGACATCGTGGATAGGTTGACCAAGAATGCCTATTTCTTGCTTATTCGAACCACTGACTCCATCAGTAAGTTAGTCCACGTATATGTTGATGAAATTGTTCGATTTTATGGAGTTCCTTTATCCATTGTGTTCGACTGCGATCCCCAGTTCACTTCTCACTTTTGAGACAGCTTCCAAGAAGCTTTAAAGTCTGAGTTGTATTTCAGCACCGCTTATCATCCCTAGACGGATGTTCAGTCAGAATGTACAATCTAGACATTGGAAGATATGTTGCGTGCTTGCGTTCTCGACTTCGGTGATAACTGGTATGAGTATCTTTCATTTTATAAATTCGCTTATAATAATAGTTATTATTCCAGCATCGGTATGGCCCCGTACAAAGTATTGTATGGAAGGCCCTGTCGTTCCCCTACTTATTGGAGTGAAGTCGGGAACTAACGCCACTTAGGAGTAGACTTTATTCAAGAGACCATTGAGAAGGTCGTCATTATCTGCAAAAACTTAGCAACTGCCCAATGCTGCCAAAAAAGTTACGCCGACAATCATAGGTGACCCTTAGAGTTTGCTGTAGGAGATCAAATTTTCCTGAAAGTTTATTCCTACAAAGGCAAGATGCAGTTTGGGAAGAGAGGGAAGTTGAGCCCTTATTATGTGGGATTTTTTTTTAATTATCGAGCGCATTGGACCCGTGGCATACTGTCTCGCTCTATCTCAAGAGTTTGCGAGTCTGCATGATGTTTTTCACGTCTCTATACACAAAAGGTACCACCCTAATCGTACTATTTCTCGCAATGAGGTGCAGGTACAGGCTGGCATGACTTATGAGGAGGTTCTTATGGAGATTT